AACTGTAGTTAACTGTAGTTTTAAAATAAACTACAGTTTATTTATACGTATTGTAATTCACAGTTCGCATCTCTACTAAGCATGATACATAATTAATTATAATAACTATAATATTTGATTTATAAAATTTTTTTTTATTAATTTTTAATTGAATATTTTTTAAAATTTTTTTGATTTTTATTGATTTACCCCATATATTAGAAAAACCTGTAAAATTTCCAATATAATTATGTAAAAAAAATACTATCCATTTAAATTTCATGTGATATTAGTGAAGTCAACTTGGAGTCGACTTTAAACAACTTTAAACAATTTGACTCTAACCGACTCTACTTTCTTGCAGTTTCTATTAGTCACAATAGTGATTTCAAATAAATGTCATAACAGTAATTAATATATTACTATCCTAAGAGCTAGTTAAGAAATTTTAATCAAACTCGATCAAAACAGTTAATTTAAATTAAATATCAAAAAAAATATGACTTAGTCTAATCATTTTTTAATCTATAATTAAACATAATTTTCTATATACTTAATTATAAATCTGAATAAAAAATATTCGATCATGATTGGCTGATTTTGGGTCAAACAAAATCGGCGCATATGTTAAACTGGCTCATTTTTGTCGCTTTTGTTAATTTTGGCATGAATTTATCATTAAACACTGTAATTAAGTTAGCTATTGCTTTGAAAAGTTCGTTTATAGAAAGAACACATAATGTTTTTTATTTTTTAAGGATTATGTATTTATATGAAATAAAAAAGCTAAACTGATGAATGATAGATTACCAACATATCATATGATTTTGCGGTCCTATCAACTATGCTTTAACATTAAGCAATAATAATTAGAAATGAGAATATTATATAATTAAGGGATAGAAGGATATAAAAATAGTAAATTTCACAGAAAAAATTATAATTTTTAAAAATTTAAAACTTGTAGTTCTTTTTACAAGTTATTCAATAGTATAGTTATATAATAGAATTCAATTATAATTTTTTGATGTCAAAAAGATAATAAGGTCATAAAAATCATATAATTCATAAGGTCTTTTAAAATTATCAGAGATATAGAGGTACGAACTATAAACTATTAATTATAAATAAACTAACCCTAACGGTGACTAAATGTTGAACTAAACGTTGATCTAAAAAACAACCAAAGAAAAACAAAAAAGCTGGCAAAAAAAATAACCAAAATTAAGTTTTACATCACAGCCTGCTATGTCTAATTTGCCTATTTTATGTTATAAGGCTCATTAATGATTCAAAATTTAATGATTCAGAATCTAAGTTAGCTAGCTTTCTGGAAGACTGTCCACCATTAATTAGTATAAGAGGATTTTCTATATTTTCTGTTGACAGCATTCCCATTAGCACAGAATCAACTAATTTTTCAGTTGACTTCTCACCATCTATCATTTCAGAAGGACTTTCTAATTTTTTTGTTATGTATTTTATTGCAGAAGGATTTTCAAATTTTTCTGTTGACTCCTCTGCATACATAGAAGGATTTTCTAAATTTTCTGTTGACTGTTATTCATTAAAGCCATAGCCTGTTAATGGAAATTGATTTGATGAATCTAAGCCAAAAATATTGTATTCTGATGGCAAACTGAAAAGTTGCTCAAATCTTTGTAGATAATCAAATAATACTTCTTTGTTTTCTTTAGAATAAGTTTTTTGGTTATTATTTATTTTATTTGACTCTTGAAAATAAGTTTTCTGTGCATTATTTATTTCACTTGACTCTTCAGAATAAGTTTTTTCAGCATTATTTCTTTCATTTGGTTTTTCATAATAATTCTTTTTGATTTTATATATATTTCTTTCACTTAACTCTTTTGATATAAAGCTATTCAAAAAAAAATTAAATAATTTTTTCAACTTGTTTGTTAATGATTCTTTATTATTTTTAGTAGAACTAGATGATGAAATTTCCTCAGTATTTGAAACCTAATTCAATCTTTTCTTCTTAGGAGCATCTTTCATTTTTTTATTAAATGATCTTTTCTTATATGTATATTTATCTTTATTCTGTTTTTGGTAATCTAATTTGATTTTTTTAGCTTGTTGTTGATACTCTTCTCTGAGTTCTGGACTTAATTTACTCCACAAATATCCAATAAAACTTGAAACTTGATGATTGTTTAAATGACTGTACTTAGCCTTAACCATATGGCATATTTGACTTTGAAATATCATAAAGCTATTTGGAGGTTTTTTTGCTATTTTTTCATTATAAGGTGCGTTTTCTGCTATATTTAAAATATATGCCAGGATTTTTATATTTAATCTTGACAATTCCTTAATCATATCTTTCGAATTCACATTCTCGCTATTTTGAACTAAAATTGGTGAATAACCAGTTGAAATGAAAACAGTAATTCCATTAACTCTATTGCTGCTTTTAATATTGGAATACAGATTTTGTTCTTCAATTAGAGTAA